ATACACAGACAGACATTGTTAAGGGTCTACAGAAAGTCATTCATTTCATATTCCATATTCCAATTAAAAATTGTATTTAAATAAAGTTTACAGGGTACTCCCTCCCTCATTCCTCCCTGCCCTTCCTCATACTTGTCCCTGGAACATTCTCCGGGGCCTCAGCTGCCACTCTCTCCACCAGCCATCCTCATAATGACTTGTGACAAAAGAACAGACCCTTGCTGGGCCGTTCTCATTCAGAGGGACAAAAATGACTTCTCTGACCAAGAACTTTTCCAGATAAATGGAGACTAATGGAACACAACCACTAAATGCAACATATGATCCTACACTGGGCTCCAGACCAGATAAAGGACATTCCTGAAACAACCGGCAAACTTGGGACAAGGCCTGAAGATTAATACTCTTTAATAATAATAATAATGGTGTGTCCATGCTCATTTCCTGATGCTGATCATCATGCTGTGATTATGCAAGATGATGTCCTTGTTTTTAGGAAATCACACTAAGTCTCTAGAGATAAGGCGGCATTGTGCCTGCAACTTACTCTCAAATGTTTCAGGAAAAGAGTAAATGTGTGTGTTGGCCCACATGGGTGTGAAGTGTGTGTGTTTGCACACACATGGAGGGAGAAAGGATGAATGATAAAGCAAAGTAGTTAATTGTTCACATTTGGCCAATCTTGAACGGCATAGAACTCTTTGTACCATTTTCCCCACATTTTCGCAAGTCTTATATTATTTCAAAATAAGAGTTAAAAAAATCGGCTAGGCACAGTGGCTCATGCCTGTAATTCCAGCACTTTGGGAAGCTGAGGTGGGCGGATCACCTAAGGTCAGGAGTTTGCGACCAGCCTGTCCAACATGGTGAAACCCTGTCTCTACTGAAAATACAGAAATTAGCCAGTGGTGGTGGCGGGTGCCTGTAGTCCCAGCTACTCAGGAGGCTGAGGCAGGAGAATTGCTTGAACCCGGTGGGGCGGAGGTTGCATTGAGCTGAGATCATACCATTGTGCTCCAGCCTGGGAGACAGAGTGAGCCTCTACCTTTAAAAAAATAAAAATAAATAAAAAATAAATCTCCGCACTTGGAGTACTTCTGGGCCTCTTGGGCGCAGTCTGCTCCAACTTCAAGTTCTACTGTTGGGTTTCCAAAGAGGCTGAGCTCTCTGCTTCTTTCAAGCCAGATTCTCCAAATTCTCCTCACCTGGCTAAACAGACAATATGTCTTCCTGTCCTGGTGAGGTCTCCCGGTGACCTGACAGGTCATATCTATATCTACTCCCTATTTTTCATGTAGAAGCTTGCTTTGCTCTTTGATATCTCACTGGGTTCCACTTTTTCTCTCTATTACAAGAGCCAAAGGCTGGGTTTATCCGTTGCAACGTGTATCAGTCAGGATCTGTGCAGTAGGTCATGCCGCACTAACAGACTGCCCAAAGTTCAGCTTACTTAACTTTGTTGATAACTTGTGAGTTGATTTCTCACTCATGCCACATATCCAGCATGGCAAGTGAGGGCATGTCTGTGTTCACTGTAGTCACTTAGGAGCCCTGGGCGATGGAGGCTCCGTCTTGTCTCATGCTTCCAAAATCACCACAGCAGATGAAAATGAGTGTGGTGCATTACTCACTGACTCTGAAAAGTTTTTCCTTTCCTTCTTCCTGTCCTTTCCTGTCCTCTCCTTCTCCTTCCTTCCTGTCTGTCTCTCTCTTTCTTTCTTTCTCTTTCTTATGCAGGGTCTCGTTCTGTTGCCTATGCTGGAGTGCAGTAGCTCCGTCTCACTGCAACCTCTGTCCCCCGGGTTCAAGTGATTCTCCTGCCTCAGCCTCCCGAGTAACTGGGATCACAGGCATGCACCACCAAACCCGGCTAATTTTTGTATTTTTAGTAGAGACAGTGTTTCACCATGTTGGACAGGCTGGTCTTGAACTCCTGGCCGCAGTTGATCCGTCTCCCTCAGCCTCCCAAAGTGATGGGATTACAGGTGTGAGCCACTGCGCTCGGTCATAGCGTTTATTTTCAAAAGAGACGAGTGATTTCCACTCATATTTCATTCACCCTAAAGTTCAGTCCTACATTGTGTTTGTGAGAAGGAGAAATAGAAATGCATTTGTCACAGCCCTGATGATTGTCGCAGTACTAACGCTCAGCAGTTAACCTGATTTTGAAAGTGAAACTTAGCAGTGCAGCAAAAGAGGCATGCCTATAAGAAGCAAGGACGCTGAGGGCCACCAGAGCCCAAGTTAGAATTACAGATTGGCCAAGCGTCGCCTGAGCGTCTCCTCCTCTGAGAGGCTGCCCTGACCTGCTCTGTGCTCCCACCATGACCTGCACGGACTTCTGTCTTCCCACCCTAGCATGCTTTCACTCTTCATTTTCTCATGATTTTCTGCCTTGTTAGGTAGATGAATTTTACATGCACCACAGATGTTTACTGCACGCACCTATCAATAGAAGGCACCTATTATTTGCAATAGAAGGCACTGCACTAGGTTCTGGGATATAAGAACAAATAAGACATGGGTTCTGCCCTCGTGGCATTTCCTGGCCTACCATGAAGACAGAGAGGAAAACAGACACTTTACGTTGAGAGGGTAGACCTCAGCGCAGCTGACCTATTTGGGAAGCAAGAGGGTGGCGAGAGGAGGGGAGGACGTGGGAGAGAGCTGCTGTGCACCACACTGGACAATCACCATCCAAGTTCTTCGTCCGTCATTCTCGCCGGTCAGGAAGAGGGCCCATGATGTGCAGCATGCCGGTGGTGAGATTAGAAGTCAGGGTTTAGAGGCTACGGATGTATCCTGTTTTTGCAAACAAGAAATACTTATTAGACATCTGCTACAATAGTAAAGGCTAATTCTACTTACATTTAAGTAACACTTTATAATTCAGGTGCCCGTGGAAATCATGGCTCATTTGACAAATGAGGACACTAAGGCAGGTAACTTGTTGGGGTCCTTAAAAGTCCCAACTACACCATTTAGAGCTCAGGGTCCTGATTCCCAGTCCAGCACACTTTCCAGTAATCCATCCTGCCTGGACCTTGTTTGAGACCCTACCTGCCTCTGAACGTCCTACAGTCTCCAGAAGAGTTTCCATTCACTTTCATGATAGGTGTGGGGAAGAGTCACATCGATTTAATCACAGTCCTTGGTTAGGATGAGCCAAGTGGATGTGTAAGATCCTCCTTTTCTCTGGCTTGCTGTTGGATAATTATAAGGATGAATGACGCACGATAAAAGTGACTTTTCAGGGGGTACCATCTACACTTGACATCCCAGCTACCAAGCAGATGCTTGCTGACTCACAGCTGCCGGTGTAGCCAGCCCTGCATGGTGATGTAATTGCTGTGGGATACAGGAAGATGGGAGGGGGAAGAAGAGCCTGGGGTCCTGCTTCTCTTGCCAGGATTCATTTGTCTGCTACAACTTGCAGCCAAGGAAAGGATGCTGAGTCTCTGGGGCCAACACGTGGAAATGCTGTGGCTGCAGGCCAACCTTATCTTTTCCATTTTCTGAGGTTTGGAAAGATTTCTGGCTCATGCTAGCCTCCCATTGATTAAATGAGATAATGTATGTAGAGGCCTTGGCACATAGTACATGGCCAATAAATGGTAATCTGTGGTAATAGTAATAATTACAGTAATAATGGCCTTAATTCCCATAGTAATAGATAAATAATTATTTAATAATCATAGTAATAATAAATATGATAATATTATAATAATCAGTGGTGTGGGGAGAGTAGTGCATTGGGAGGGAGGCTCCCAGTGGGAAAGAGCTGTATCAGTGATGCAAGAAAATAAAAAGCAAATTGTGTGGGAATGCGTTGTACTCTTCCCACAATTTTGCTGGCAAGCTAAAACTGCTCTAAAAAGTAAAGTCAATTATTATATATACATATATTTTATTTTATTTTATTTTTTGAGATGGAGTTTCACTCTGTCGCCCAGGCTGGAGTGTGGTAGAGTGATCTCAGCTCACCGCAAGCTCCGCCTCCCATGTTCACACCATTCTCCTGCTTCAGCCTCCCGAGTAGCTGGACTACAGGCGCCTGCCACCACACCCGACTAATTTTTTGTATTTTTAGTAGAGACGGGGTTTCACCGTGTTAGCCAGGATGGTCTCGATCTCCTGACCTCATGATCCGCCCATCTCAGCCTCCAAAAGTGTAATTGTTTTTTTGTTTTTTTTGAGACGGAGTCTCGCCCTGTCGCCAGGCTGGAGTGCAGTGGTGCCATTTCGGCTCACTGCAACCTCTGCCTCCCAGGTTCAAGCGATTCTCCTGCCTCAGCCTCCTGAGTAGCTGGGATTACAGGTGCCCGCCACCACACCTGGCTAATTTTTGTATTTTTAGTAGAGATGGGGTTTCACCATGTTGGCCACGCTGGTCTTGAACTTTTGACCTTGTGATCTGCCCACCTCAGCCTTCCAAAGTGCTGGGATTACAGGTGTGAGCCACCGCACCTGGCCAGCTTTTTTTTTTTTTTTAAATGAAAGAACAAAATCCCAGACTGATGATTAGTTGGTATTATTGTGTTTCAGTTCTCTAAAAACAATGCACCTCCTTTTTGCGTGTACCAGGTGGACCAGCTTCCACCATTTTTAAATGGCCTCATTGGCTGTGCAGATACTCAAATGAGTCATATGTTAAGGAAGAAGTAAAATTTGCTGGTAGGATGGTAGCTCCAGTGTCTCTTTTATTTACCACTGGGTGTTGAATGCTGGTGAAACTGACCCAGGACATGGCTGGGCACAGAAGCTGTAGGTCTTGGGCTCTCTGTGGTCTCTCCACAGAGCTAAGCAGCCACATCATCTCCACTCAGCATGGCTGCAGTGGGTATCTTGGCTGCGAGCAGCCCCTGGGAGGGTGCCCACCATGCCTCATGCCTAGTGAGAGCTCTCCAAATCCACAGACCAGGGCAAGTCTTGTCCAGACATTGCCAATGGGTTGGCTTCCTTTCCTTTGCCTGATGCAAGGTTCTCTTTTCTTTGAGTAGGAAAATGCCCAGATAATCAGAGAAGTGGAAGTGGACAAGGTCTCCATGCTCTCCGGGGAGCAGGTGGAGGCCATCAAGCAGCTCTGGCAAGATCCAGGCATCCAGGAGTGTTATGACAGGAGGAGGGAGTACCAGCTGTCGGACTCTGCCAAATAGTGAGTACAGAGCCCAGCCTGGCTGCCCGCGGTGCTTTCAGGCAAGCTCGGCCACACTTCAAAGAAGCTTCTCGCTGAACGCTGCTGAAATGCGGTGCACAGCGGCAGCGCTACCTGCCTCCGCTTTTCCGTATCCCACCTGACCTCTTGGTGCCATCTCTCACCACCTCCTAAAGCCGTCAGTCACTCTGTGGATCGCAGACCTCTCTTCCTGCCGACGCCCACCTGCTCTCTCTGTGTTCTAAGCCTGTCGTTTCCAGTGAGAGACTCAATCAAATCTGAGGTCCCTTAAGTGGGACTGATCTCCTTTGGAGTGCTTAAATTACCTGATATAAACAAGAAATACCCTTGCTTTTGGCTTCGACTTTCCTCCTCTCTATATTCCTCTGCCTTTCGGGTTTCCCCATCAGAAGACAGCCGGTCCAACTGCCCTAAAATCCTAAGTCAAGTTTAGAGCAGCGGGGCCATTGACCCATCAGCAGCTGATCTGGTGCTGCCCTCTAGTGGCACAGGCAGGCTGTGCTCCCAGCACACACAGGAAGCTCAATCCTTTGTTTATTGGCTGCCTGTGACGGCCTACACACTGTATTTTGGACCCATACAGCTCAACTTTTAATTCATTAATCCTTGAAGGTAAGAAGATTTCTATTTAGATGTCTCGGCATGCAAGCTGTCCCATAGAGATGACAGATTTTCACTTTCTTAGGCATTTCCTGTTCACATCTGTAATCCCAGGGACTTGGAAGGCAGAGGTGGGAGGATCGCTTGAAACCAGGAATTCGAGACTAGCCTGGGCAGCAGAGCAGACCCCGTCTCTGCAAAAAATACAAAAAGTAGCTGGGCGTGGTGGCCTGTGCCTGTAATCCCAGCTACTCGGGAGGCTGAGGCGGGAGGATGTCTTGAACCTAGGAGATTGAGGTTACAGTGAGCCTTGATTGCACCACTGCAATATAGCCTGAGTGACAGAGTGAGACTCTGTCTCAAAAAAAGGAAAATTTAAATAAATAAATAAATAATATCCCAGGGCAATGCCTCCTCAGTCTGGCCACTGGGCAACAGTTTGATATGGGTCCTTCTTAAAGTGGCAATAACTCCTGCTTCTGCAGCTCAGCTTTCTCACGTGTCCCATATCATCTTCCATCCCCTGAGGCTCAGGAATCCCTTCCCCAGATTTGCCTCCTTCCCTTTGGGTACCACTGTCACCCTCGGAGCAGGCATTGAGCTGGACAAGGCATTGGGCAGGAGAGGAAGCCTGAAGTGTCACCTCCTGTGGTTTCAATGGCCTTTCTTTGGTGTTTATCCCGGGCTGAGAGTTTAATGTCATTAATCCAGGTTGGCACAACTAATCTAAGTACAGGAATGTTTAGGTGCAAAAAAGCCTCAAGGCAGGAAAATAAACCCCAATAAGGTGTTAGATCAGCATAGGGAGGTGGAAGAAGGAAAGAAAGGGCCACGGAGGAGGGTTTGCCTTTGACACCTCAAGGAGCCAGGGATGGGCACGACGTTCCTGAGCCATAGCTGAGGTGGCCTGAGTTAGCTGCCTCTGTGAAGTCCTGGGGATTGGCTAGGGCTCTTGATATAGATCCATTTGGGGAAGACCCACCAGACCTGCTACACAATTCAATGTAACCCTGCAAACCATGGGGGCGAGGCCACTGACATGGACGAGGGGCATGGCTAGGGTGGTGGGCAGAGCTGTCACAGAGAAAACAGCCTCTCCTAAACCCAGTTGCCCAACCTTCCAAACCGGCAGGACTCAAGGCACTTGCTCATTTTCTCCATCTGAGCCAGCAGTTTTCAATCCCTTGGCTAGAGAGGTCTGCTTGCGATGCGCCAGGCACTGTGGTAAGGGCTGCAGGTAGTAAACAACCAATGCTCTCTGCTCTCAGAGAATGTACAGTCTGGTGGAGCAAGTCAGGTATAAATCAAATAATCACACATCAAAGTACAGCAAAAACAGTGATAAGCCCTGGGACTGTATCTGGGTAGGGAGGTGGATTGTGGAAGGCTGCCCCAGTGCTTTGCTTCTGGAGCTGAAGGCATGTGGTGAACAGGGTTTGCCTGTGACCTCTTGGTTAGCCTCCATGTGAACCTGCTCAGCCCCTGATCTTGTGCTGGGACAGGGCGGGGCTGGTCTCAGCTTGCAGGGGGCTCTAGCTCTGCATCTCCAACTCTTTTGTTAGCTAGGGCCTGAGTTACAGTTATTTTACCTAAAAATGTCTTTTAGAAAGGCCTTAAAGTTGTTGTTGTTTTTGTTTTTAAAGGATTCTCTTATTTTACTACAGAAAAAAAAAATGTATGTTTTAAGCTCAGGGCTTCAATATATGGCCAAAAATAAGTGAAGGCAAGTTTTGGGTTATTTTAGGAGATGTATAGTTTCCCAGTGTCTTCAACAGGAAAACTTTTTCTTGTTGCTGTTGTTTTGAATTTCTCCTCGGCCTGTTTTACGTCTGTGTATTTTCTTAGAAACTCTATTTAGTTCATTGAGCAAAGCTTTGGAGAACAGCATCTCCATTATATAATGTTCTTGGACAAGGGTGAGTGGGAGGGAGAAGGGCCTCTGGAGGGAGCATGACAGATGGGGCGTTGGAGACAGCCATTTCCAACATCCTGGTCCCTCCAGCCCCACTGTCTCCCTCGCTGGTCAAATAGAAGCGATGGAGCTTAGAACCCAGGAGCCAGAGACGGAGTGCTCTGCAGATGTCCCAGAAGGCTCATGAAAGTCCTTCTGACCCATATTGTCTTCAAAACAGTCGTAGGAAGGATGGAGAAGCCTGGCCTGGGGCTGGCTCTTAGGAAAGTCATTGATGGAATTCATGTGTCTGTGTGGGGCTCACTGTGAGTTGGGGGGTGACTTCCTTTGAATAGGATGGACATTTCTCCCTTCTCTAAGAGGAGACTCAGTTCCTCGTTCTCTGATATACAGTTACCTGACTGACATCGACCGCATCGCTACACCATCATTTGTGCCGACACAACAAGACGTGCTTCGCGTCCGAGTGCCCACCACCGGCATCATCGAGTATCCATTTGACTTGGAAAACATCATCTTTCGGTAAGTCCGTCCCCCTGATGTAGCATGAAGAATCCGCCCAGGCGTGGAAGTCCCCAGATGGATTCTTAAACGTGTTATTGCTAAGCAGGGATTATATCTCTTAGGACAGAGTGACCCTCTCTGCTCGGGGTATTTAGAACTGTGGTAGATCTCAACCCTAGAATGGAGAGGAAGTCACCTTCCTATTACCCTTGGAGAAGAAGGGTTTCCTTACTGGAACCTGGAATGGTTCTTATGTGTAACTCACACACACACACACACACACACACACACACACACACACACACGTATATACTTCTGTATCCTACAAATTGAATATAGTGATTATCGATGTCTTCTCTTTAAAGGTGAATAATATTTCCTTTCTCCTCTATTTTCTCCTCCAAGATTTATCCTTAGAAAATTAAGAATTTATACAAAAATGTGTATTAAAACTATGAAGAATAATATATAAAAACTAACAGCTGTGTAAAAATGTATGCATTTCTACTTACAAATATAGGGAATACTTTTAGGATGACTTCAGTGAATCTTCACTGCATTTAGTTATGGTAAAAAGTGAATAATATAGGGCATATACGTAGCACTGCACATTTGAAAGCACTTTTATATCCACTATTTCCCTTGTTCTTCCTAAAAATTATCGCACATGATTTTCTAGTTGAGACAACACACCAGTCCTCCCACATCCGGGTCCTGTCTGATCCCCAGTTATAGCTCAGTGCTTCTCTATCCAGAATTGCTGTGTTTGGGGAGCCCTCGGGTCCAGCCCCTCAAAAATGTCCCCCATCTATATTAGCATATCCCTGATTTTAATAGTAGCCCCCTGTGCGCCCATGAATTTCTCTAGGCCTTTTCACAATTAACTGCTTTTTGCCATGTCCAAAACCTCTTAGAGAGAGGCTCCCAAGGATTTTTTTTGTTTTGTTTTAGAAAAGACTTTTATTTCTTCTAAGTTTATCCTTCTTGGACTGTGAAGAATGGGTTTTGCATTACTTTCTAGAGTCTGCTGAATGGGTTTAACATCCTTCACCAGTGAAATCTATTGCTTTACAACTCAGAGCACCTCTCCCAGTGGGATATTTCTGGCTGAAAAATTCTGACCTTTGAAATTGAGGCCTTTATAGAATGGCTTCTTCAAGCTCAGCCTTTTGACAGTTGCAATGTCCTGTTTCCAGATGGTTCCCTGCTGTGATAGCCAGCCACGAACACGTCATTGTGGGAGTGGTCGCACCTCCAGGACATGGTTCAAGGACAGGATTGAATTTTTCGTTTTCCTTCCTGCACTTTTCTGGACAACAGTTCTGGGTGGTTGGCCTGTGGGCCACCTAAGCACATCGACCCAGGGTCTTCAGGGACTGGTGTGTGTGTGGTGGGGCGGTGAGGTAGGGGTGGGTGAGGGTGACTTGGCAGCTGTATCTGGTCCATTATGTGTTTTCTTTGGCTCACTTGGTATTATTAAAAATCGTTTGAGCTAACACATTGGATACCTTGTTTCTCCTGAAAGGCAGAGGCTGTGGTCATGGCAAGCCTGCGTTTTGTTCTGCAGAGCTTGGCTGCAGGTACGCGGCAGGTTTCCCTGCAGACAGGGCCCCCGGCTGTTGTGCCGTGTATGTTTTTATACTTTGGGGAACCCACTTGCCTCATTCCCATAAACTGCCTGATTTGCGGCAGGTTTCCCTGCAGACAGGGCCCCCAGCTGTTGTGCTGTGTATGTTTTTATACTTTGGGGAACCCACTTGCCTCATTCCCATAAACTGCCTGATTCCTGGAGCATTTGAGCTCGTGATCCCTGGGCTGCGAGTTGCCGAAATTTTCCCCAGAGACACAGATAGAGGCTTTGGATTTCTGTGCTGGACAGAGGACACTTGTAGGTTTTTATAGGGAACAAGAGGTGGCATCCAGAGAATGCAGAAAGGATTTGCGGTAAAATAGAGGAGCCACGAAAACAGAATAGGCTCAGGTCCTGAGTCCAGCGTGGGGGACCCGGAAGACAGCTGGCTACTCTGTCCCTCTTGTGTCTGGTATCCAGGGACTCTGCAGTGGTCGCCACAGGACCCAAGTGGATGTTTGCGTTTTCTGCCTGGACGCTGGTTAGCTTCCTAACCAGCAGGCTCCCCAAGTCACCTCTGCATGTCTTCAGAAATGTCATTTACATTCTCTGCCTTCTTTGCCAGGAAACATCCAGTGGTCCCTCATTGCTTAAAGCAGCAGCATCAAACATTTTAAAACTTAGGACCTCTTTTCTGTCTTAGAAATTATTGAGGACCCCAAAGAGCACTGGTTTCCATGCTGTAATAATTCATGTTCTTTTCCCCCAAAGTGTCATGTATTCCAACCTTTGAAGGATCTGTGTTTCTACACAACAGGATGGTGGATGTTGGTGGCCAACGATCGGAAAGACGGAAATGGATTCACTGCTTTGAGAGTGTCACCTCCATTATTTTCTTGGTTGCTCTGAGCGAATATGACCAGGTCCTGGCTGAGTGTGACAATGAGGTACGCTAGGCGGGAAGTTTGGGTAGCTGTGGAAGCCAGAGCCCTATTCTGTGGTTTCTAAGAAGGCAACCAGGTCAGGAAATAGACCCTCGTCATTAGGTTCAACAGTTTTGCTACTCAAAGTGTGACCTGTGGACCAGTGGCACAGGCATCACTGGGATGGCTTGTTAGAAATGCAATCTTACTGAATCAACCCCAACCAACTACATCAGAATCTACATTTTAACAAGACCCCAGGTAATTCAAATATGTATGAAAGGCTGAGAATCATGGGCCTGGAACCCGGGTTCTAAACTTGAATGCACACTGGAGTTCGCTGAGGGACTTAATGAAAACCTGGTGCCTGAGTCCAACCCCAGAGATTCTGATTGAATTGGTGGTGAAGGGGGCCTGAGTGGGGGGAATTTTAAAAAGCACCCCAGGTGAATCCACTGTGCTGTGAAGGTTGGAACCTATTCAAAAGCCTAGGTTCTCATCCTTGGTGGCATAGTGGAATCTCTTGGCAAGCGTTTTACAAATGCCATCTCTTGGACCGAACACTAAAATTTCATATTTACTGAGTTTAGGTTGAGGCTTCTTTCGAGAGTCCACTAGGGATTCTACTGCACCGCCAACGCTGAGCAGCACTATCTCTAAAACACTTTACCTGGGCGCACAGGCTTCCTAACCTCCATAGGCCCATGGTGCTCCCAAATTAGATCCCTACTGGAACTGGGGTGGGCAGTGGTGCTGGATGCTTGGAGCTGTTCTGGGGCTGCCCAGGATTGCATCTGCCTTCACGTCTCCTGGGAGGGACCCCCTCAGGGCAGCTGGGATGGATCCAGCCTGGTCAGGCACACATTGTCCCCTCAGAGCGGCCATAGCACTGGCTGCATCCAATTCCATCAGTGGGAGCTGCCCTGAGAGTGAAGAGGACCCTCAGACCCTCACAGCCACCTCTCTGTCAGGTTGGGGACAGTTGCGGTGGAACACTCATGTCCTCCTTATCATCTTTTCCCCTGAACTTGCATTAAGACCTCTTGACCTTTTAGAAAAATGTCTTTTGTTTCCAAGGCATGAAAGTAAATCAATAAAGGACTCAGTCCAGGATTAGGCAATAACTGAACAAATTGTATCTTGTATTTCTTGAGAGCAGACTTTTCTCTGAGGAGCATAGCTTATATTACCTAATTAGTGGAGGATTAACCCATTTAATTGTGTCATTGTGCAAAGAACAGAAATCTTGGCTGCCGCCCAGCTCTCTCAACTGGAGATTTTTTTGTTGTTAAGACAAGACATTCAGTTATCAATATAAAAAAATGGCTCCAAATTTGTTTCAGGAATTATTTGTGATGTTCCTCAGGAAACTCAAAAGATTAGTAAGGTGCACAAGGGACCAGTATCTCAGCCCAAAGTGCTTAGAAATTAACACTTTCTCCTCTCTTAAAAATCACAAAATATTTGAGAAAAATTAAGTGGTTGCCACTCCAGACTTTCCCCTCCTGGTTGTAGATCTGTGTTATATCCACTCTGTATACTGTCTGGGAATTTTTCATATACTTTATTTCCTTGGAGATCATTATCAATAAGATCATAATAAATTTTAAAGCTTTAATACATTCCAGATCGTAATTCCCCCAGAGTGTACGGAGTGGCAGAAGGAGCCTGGGTGTCTGGAAGTTGTGGGGAAAGAGTGATTGATGGCATGGCCCTCTTGAGTGTGTGTGCTGAGCTTGGATGTTTTTCACTCTGATCCTTCCTTCCCTACAGGAAAGTTCTTATTTCTTTCCTCTTAGAAATACTTGAGAAAGAACGGAATGCTATCTAGAACAATTATTGTCACAGATAAGATTTGTTTGTGCCCTGTCTGCTCTCAGTAAATTAGGAGCATTTAGTATCTTCTTGCCAATGTCTGACATTTAGAAATTATCACTGTCTTTCTACGTAACCTTCCCCAGGTCCCACTATTACAGGGGCTCGGGAAAGTTATGTAAATATTCCAGATAAGGCCAGGCACGGTGGCTCACGCCTGTAATCTCAGCATTTTGGGAGGCCGAGGCAGGCAGATCACGAGGTCAGGAGATTGAGACCATCCTGGTTAACACAGTGAAACGCTGTCACTACTAAAAATACAAAAAATTAGCCGGGCGTGGTGGTACACACCTGTTGTCCCAGCTACTCGGGAGGCTGAGGCAGGAGAATCGCTTGAACCCAGGAGCTGGAGGTTGCAGTGAGCCGAGATCGTGCCACTGCACTCTAGCCTGGGCAACAGAGTGAGACTCCATCTCAAAAAAAACAAAAAACAAAAAAAGACGTTCTGAACAACAGTATGCTCACTCATCAAACGGGCCACTGCTCTGCTTATAAAGTGTGGCACAGGGTGGGTTCACAGTAGCACTGCCTCCCGTCTCTGCCAATGTCTAGCATTCCTAGGGGCAGTGGCCTTGCTGGAAGAGCCTTGTCATTTGACTGCTGAGGCCCAGTCTGGAAGCCCATAACCAACTGAGGAGGCCGTGTCAGGTCTGAAGTTGGCACTTCCCTACTTGGTAATCCCAATGATCACATGACACAGGAAATTTGTCAAATGTGGGTAGGAACCTTCCTTCTCCAAGTTGCACCAAAGCCTTTCTTATTTCCTCCCTGTGAGTTTTGGGCTGGAGAAGAGCTGGGATGCAACAGGAGAGGCGACCCAGAAGGGGAAGGTTGGTAAGAGGCTTGGGGAGGGGCAAACAGAAGTAGGAGGCCTGTTGCCTTGGGCTCCACATGCTCACCAGCTTCAGCAGACAGTGGTCCAGAGACTGCGACAGGGCAAGGGAAGAGATGGATGGACTGGCAATGTGCCATGTTGTTTCCAAAATATTTCCTTTCTACTTCATCCCAAGTCCCTTGTTTTTCACTTAGAACCGCATGGAAGAGAGCAAAGCCTTATTTAAAACCATCATCACCTACCCCTGGTTTCTGAATTCGTCTGTGATCTTATTCTTGAACAAGAAGGATCTTTTGGAAGAGAAAATCATGTACTCTCATCTAATTAGCTATTTCCCAGAATACACAGGTAAGTGTCTATCTTGTGGACGGTATTTCTGTGTTGATCTCGTCTACCTCCTGGGCATCAGTCTAGAGTTACCACAGCAAAAAGGGTCTCCCTGGTCTGCCTAGAACACCCTCTGTCCCTATTCCCACCTTCAAACAGAAGCTCTAGTTGCACCATTGTGTGTTTTCACCGAAGCACCTCCACACACGCTTCCCCTCGTACTGGGAATATCCTTGCCAACTCCTTTCACTGCCTCCACGTTGTTCTCCAAAACCCAGCAAAGGCCTCCCCTTCTCTGGGAGCATTTATGGCCTCCCCTGCCCATCCAGTCTGCAGTAGGGGTGCCTCCTCCTTTCTGCTCCCTTGGCAGCCTGATCCCCGCTTGCTCTCTTGGCCACATCACGCTATGTCGTATCCTCTGCTCACTCAGCTTTCTTCCCAGTTGGCTCCGTGAGGGCAGAGATCTGCTTGATTTATCTGTGCATTCCTCGTGCCAGTCGGAGTACCTGGTGCTTCTTATGTGTATGTTAGACTGTGGCATCCCTTTTCCCAGACACATGGCGGACTCTGAAGCTCTTTTTACATAACATGTCCAAGGTAGGAGAGTCTCATGCCCTGTTGCTAATTGTTTCTGGTACAGGAGATCTCAAACATTCAGTTTGACACTGATATTTAGTGGATTCATGTTTCAGCTCTCTTCTTTCCCCTTTTACTAACCATACTGGCTGTGCAGTATAGCACCCTCGAGCTTTAAAATCAGCCTGATAATGTTAGTTCCCACATTCTTCCTTTTATCTCTCCTAGACCAGAGCCGTCTGTCCATATTTGTTAGCAAGGATTACTTCTCTTCAAAAGTGGTCCAAATCAGACAAATTGGGTCACTATGTTTAAACAAATCGCCATAAAGTACAATTTTTAGATACCAGAGGACATTTTAAAATATGACTATTTTATGGGTTCATGATGAGATACCATAAAAATAATACTGCAGGCAAACTGTTCCCTAGAAATAAAGATCAAAGCAGGATCTCAAATAAGAACAAGAGTACATTAAAAAATGGTTCTTGGGGCCAGGCACAGTGGCTTACGCCTGTAATCCCAGCACTTTGAGAGGCCAAGGTGGGTGGATCACCTGAGGTCAGGAGTTCAAGACCAGTGTGGCCAACATGGTAAAACCCCGTCTCTACTAAAAATACAAAATCGCTGCATGTAGTGGCACGCATCTGTAATCCCAGCTACTTGGGAGGCTGAGGAAGGAGAATTGCTTGAACCCCAAAAGTGGAGGTTGCAGTGAGCTGAGATTGCGCCACTGTACTCCAACCTGGGCTACAGAGCAAGACTCTGTCTCAAAAAACAAACAAACAAAAATGGTTCTTGGGAGGACATGGTGTTAAGTCTGTGTCTTTATTCCCCTAATTGCACTTGTGACTAGGACCAAAGCAGGATGTCAAAGCTGCCAGAGACTTTATCCTGAAGCTTTACCAAGATCAGAATCCTGACAAAGAGAAAGTCATCTACTCTCACTTCACGTGTGCTACAGATACAGACAACATTCACTTTGTGTTTGCTGCTGTCAAAGACACAATTCTACAGCTAAACCTAAGGGAATTCAACCTTGTTTAAAAGCTGCTGCCCACTCCTCCCCCATAACAGAAGATGTGATTTGCAAACTCCTTGTTTTATTTGCAAGTGCTTCTGACATCTCCAGAGCCAGCCCCGTGCCAGGCACTAAGGACGCCACGCAGATCGTGGAGACAGAGATGGGTGATGGAACTTGGAAGACATTTGAGTTTACCAAAATACTTTAAAAGTCTTTGCATCCCAAATTGTATTAATAATTATTTTCTTGACTTTTGGCTGTAAGATTTTGTGTAATTTTTGAATTTGGTGTTTTCTAGAATTTTTAAAGGCCACTTTGATTTAGTTTTAAATTTCAAATATGTTTAAAAATAGCAATTAAAATTATGTAAGCAAGGAGCCTGTTTATAGATCATGCCTTGAAACCTCTAGAACTAATCTGGGTGACTTTTAAAAAAATGCTAATGAGTCTGAAGCTTTTTATTAAATCTTGTAATTTAGAGACATTTTTAATTTTCACCTCATGCTGAAGGCTGACTCCTTTAACTTGCCACCAAAGATTTTTTTTTTGAACACTTAGTTCTTTTTGTGTGTTAATTTTCTAAGCCTAATTAATAGATATACAAGTATATCTAACTTAGCTTTGCCACAATTTGATCACCATGAAGCCAAAGCTGGCATAGAGTAATGGGCTCTAGATAGCATGTATGTTGTATTGGTGAAAAATGTGTGTGTGTGTATATATACATTTTTATCCTCAATGTATAGTATATGACTAGGTCTTGTAAACGTATGAAATGGCTAAAAGCCCACACTGTTTGACAAATGTTATGTAACCCTGCCAAAGTTCTGATGGCCACCACAGATTTGCTGTTTGAATTATGTATGCTGTGCCTTTCTGAGGAGGCTAAGAATATACCATTCTGCTATTATCATTGGGTTATGTTGTGTTTCTTAGAGCTCATGGTTGACTGATGGTTCTGCTCCTAAACAGGAAAATGCTGTGGCCTTAATAGTAACTCGGAAACTTTCTTAAGATTCCTCCTTTCAAGGCCAGTCTGTACGCATCATCGTGGCATGCTGCAGTTCCCTCAGTAGCTGGCTGGGTCAAGCGGAAGGAGAATCCTCTGGGAAGTAAGAGCGCTCCACACTAAAGGCCCAAGATGGTTTTGTGCATGTGTGCACACACGCCTGCGCACACACACACCATTTGGGGATATAAGGTATGAAGTGTCTATCTCAAATCAGTCTATAAAATGCACCTCGGTTGGCTAACATACTTTATGGAACCATGCGTCCCCATTCTGTGGGAACAATTCCAAGTGCTGAAAAAGACAAATTATTCTGATATGTAGCGATTCTACAATAGCAACATCTAACTTTAAAAAAATGAATCCTTACTCAAGAGATCAATGCAATAACAACAACTTTTGTGGAAGTTCACAGATTGATGTTAAAATTTATCTAGAACAGTAAAGGTCCAGAAATAGCCGAGACAATTTTGCACGAGAACAGAGAGAGGGGAGTGGAGCTCTTTAGGATATCTAGAAGCACAAACAAAATACAAGACAATCCCCCTCCCCACCCATGATGGGCTAGAGGCTATGGACTGGGTTTCACTAGCCAATTAACATAAAAAGGGTTCAACAGAATCCAGTAATCGGGGAAATTAAACAATGAAGAATTCCATTTCTTATTTCAAGCACTTTATAGCATTGAGTTTTTGTTAATTTATAGTTGGCTGACCACTTAAAGCATACAAGAAAATGATGGCTTTCCATATTCTAGTTGTAGGAGGGCTGTTAAATAAGTCATTCAAAGGGTGGTAACAATATTTTCTTAAGGCGTGGAAAGGCTAGACTCTCAATATCAGAGGTGAATTACCTCTGCCAATGTTGATTCTGCCAGTAGAAAATTCCCTCCTGGCCCTTCATTCAATATACTCATTACTTACTGGGGAAATGAGTCATGCGGAGTTTTCTAAGGTTAAGAGGCAGAATGTCGGTGGTTAAGAATTCACTAGGTTGAGACCATCCTGGCCAACACGGTGAAACCCCATCTCTACTAAAACTAAAAAATACAAAAATTAGCTGGGTGTGGTGGTGCGCACCTGTAGTCCCAGCGACTCAGGAGGCTGAGGCAGGAAAATCGCTTGAACCTGGGAGATGGAGGTTGCAGTGAGCCAAGATTGTGCCACTGCACTCCAGCCTGGTGACAGAGCAAGACTCTGTCTCAAAAAAAAAAAAAAAAAAAAAAAAAAAAAAAGATTTCACTAGGTACTATACCATACCACCCCCAAGCTTTTAGTCAGCAATGATCATGCAGGGCTGGAATGTCGCCTGCTTTGACTGAAAAATCAGGACCTTGGACAATCTGTTATTCACATTTATTTAAGCCCCAAAGAGGGTGGAATTTATATGGGCAAGGGTAAGCTATTGATAATGTTTCCAGTTCTATCAAAAAACTAAAAACAGAAGCAGACCAAAGATCAGAAATCTTTATTTGACAAAGGTATACATGGTGAAAATGGACAGTCGTCTTACCATGCAATCCAAATCTACCAATACCAAGAAATGATTATTGTTAAGAAAGTCATTAGTGAGCATGGCCAACCAATTTTTAGAGAGAGGAATAAAAGAATAAGATTCGTTTCAAAAGGAAGAACTTCACTGTAAACATCTGTGTTTATAAATTATCTTAGAATACACAAAACCAAGGCAGAGACTGTGTAACAGGCAACTGGGCCAAGCACACACAAAAGAGGAATGAGGAACAGAAAAGTGCAGGAAATCCTGCAGCGATGCAGAAATAGGTATTTTTAAAACGATCATAATCAATGACCATATTTTCATTAAAGAATAAACATTCCAAAGCAGCACAGGCTATTTGATCAATTAAAAAAACTAGCAAGAGAATATTTTTAAAGTGCACCTTTCCTGAAAAAATCATTTTTATATGTAATACACAGTCATATACAGAGATAATTATTTTTAAAAGTCTGTAACAATCTATCTGACCTTGTAACAAGTCCCAGATACCATTCCTAATAGTTTGTGAGTGTGGCTATTAAATCATCGATATTGAAAATATTTCAGTGTAATCTATGCTACATTTTTACTTGAATGCTTTTCAGCCCGAGAATTGGGAACTTTTGAGTAATGAACTGAACACCGGAGGTACGATGGCATAACAGGAAATGTGGGGATTTTCCAACATGTTCTACTTTAATTATACTTCTGATTATTAGATATCTCATTATACCAATCTCACAGGGTTTCTTGTTACAAGGACTTCATTAGAAGGAGCACATTATTGAGGTATCAGAGTAACACTAAATGAATAGTTCAATGACTGACAGGGATTTTTCTATCATAACAGTGTGATATCTATCATCATAGCAGGTGTTAAACTATAATTTGTATTTGTATAAAGTAATAAAAACTTAAAAAAATACCCATATCAGCCTAAAAAAATTGAAGTTATATTTCTTGTATAGCTTTTTGGGTAACCAAATTTTTTTTTTTAAATGCCATAATGCTTTAAAAAAGAACTCATCTGTAATTCTAAAGTAAAAAATTTTTTAAACGACATGGAAAAATTTACTTTACAAAAGAGGAAATATAAAGTAGAAAAAGGTTTCAATCAAAGAAACATGAGTAAGGTGTGTAATAGAGTAGGATTCTGTATCTTCTCAATGTGCCGGCTTTGCTTTTCGGAGAGTCCTGAAACAAATACTACTTTAGACCAATTGTGACAGTGGAGAAAAGTTTGCTCTAACAGTCGGAGTGGCCAAAAATGGACAGTACAGATTACAAGAATCGCAATTTTAACTGACGAATCCTAGCTTGATTAGGTTGCCATTAATGATAAGGAATAACTTCAAAAGTATATTTCAAAGGACTAAGCAGGAGAGTGAATGGGGTTCCTTTTAGAGTTGCGCTATACTGAATAGCACCAAAGAAAATCAGATTGACTAAGTCTGTATTGAGTCCTGCATATGGAATGTGAGTTATTTACCTTTTCTCCTTGGATCTTAAAGCAATGAGGAAATCCACTGTTTTTAGTAAAAAGGCATTGATATTTGCATAGTGAATATTTTGGCCCCACCAGAATGTGCCCTACATATTAGCTCCGCATTTTTAAAGGCCTTTGCCACCTGTATGGTCAATCAGCCAAAAGGAAGATGGTGCAAATTCAACGGACTCCAAAGGACAATGTCTGTCCCCAATTCTATGATAGTAAAATGCCTAGTGGTAAAGAGGTTAAAGTACATCTAGGTAAACAAAAGACTGCTGTGGCCTTTTGTGGGTGCTGTTTGTGGATCTGATTTTTCTATGCTTTTTCTGGTTCCACTGGATCATACGAGGTGCCTGATACACAGCAGAGAAGAAAAATGTTTCAGAAACCAAACAAGAGTGATTCCATCTTCTCACTCAAAAGAGAAAGTGCTGAGCCTCTCTAGACTTCCTGAGCTGTGGATCTGCTGCTCCTTATCTAAGGTCAGGCTCCACACAGTCCAGACTCTTCCAACAGTCACTGGATGGCCCATGCCTCCTGCAGAGTCTTTCAAGCTTTCTTTTTTTCAACTGCATTTCATAATAGGAAACACTTTATCTTGTGACCCCGTATACACAGTAAATAGAAGATTTCGCTGAAACAGGAACCAATACTTAACCATTTTACATGCTCTATTGTTCCTCTATTTTTTATTTCACTTTTAAAATATACTGGTCTTGAGCTGTTGAGTTGATTTCATGACCCACTAATGAGTTAGGACTTAGTGTGGAAAAACAGCATCCCTGAGGATTTGGGTTGATCCTGACAAAAGGTAACAAGCAATAGCCCTGGAACCCGAAAAGATTTCTCTGATCTGTGTTGGCTGAGCCACCAAAGCATCCACTGTCAATGTATTTGGCACATACTTTGAGCTTCTACAGGCAAACTAATCAAGTATATTGTCCCAATCTTTTTAATACAGGGGCCTACGTGAAGGGGCACTTGACATAGCCTGAGGGATCAACGAATACTGGCAAGTGATAACTGGATAATTTAGGTGCAGGAAATTCAGCACTGTGTAGAGTCCTTTTAATTTAATCTTACTTTTTACCAGACAGTAATACGATGCTACTGTGTGGGATGTTTCTATGAGATGAGCTAGGTGCATAGATATTCACTGGAACAATATATTACTGCTATTACCATCAGAAGAAATGAGAGAGAGAATTATTACAGAAAAGATCATGTAAGTCTAAGAAAGACTGATTCATTTGGAGGCCACAGGATAGTTGCCTCCAAATGGATTAGGATTGT